GAGTGCTGTAGTGAGAAGGGACTGTTTCCAGCAAGTACTGAGCATCCATTTTCTTGCTCCACTTCAAACCTTCTGATGTGTAGATGGATTTTGCAATAGTAACATATGATGGCTAAAGACTATCTTGCAATATTAAACAAGCATTTTACTCTTCCATTTGTTTTTTGTCCTTTTAAGTAAGCTCTACACTTGGGGCTTGAACTCCTAACACTGAGATCAAGAGTCACATGCTCTAATGACTGAGCCAGCCAGTACCTCTGCAACTTTTCATTATAGCAACATACTTGGTAATTTTGCTCAAATAAAAGCAAGAAAAATAGATTTTATGGAATAAAGATGGAACAATTTGTGAATTAGTCACATCTTTATTTTCTTACTCATCCAGTATTGCTGTCCCTTGACCAAAATACCCATATATGTTCAATAATAATTAAGTTCTGTCATGTTTGATATTTTCATGACTTTCTCTGTGTTAAAAAAAAATCAAAACGCATTTTTCAACATGTCATTATGAACACGTAGTTGTCAATACTTGCCGGAGGGTAGATTTCTTGCCGCTGCATTCCACAAGAACCCCCGTTTCTTGCCCACATGTTCCTGCCTGCACTAGGTGGAGACAGGATGGGTTTTGTTCCTGGTACTGGATGTGGAGGCACCTTGCCTAGGACAGCATTGGGAAGTGGGGATGATGGAGGTGCTGAAGAAGATGCGGGTGCGGGGGTGGAGGCGGTGAGCACCGCAGCTGGGGCTGCCCTCCTTCCCGGCTTGGCTTCGCTTGCAGGACCAGATGCTGCAGGTACTGCCTTCTGCGGGTCAGGACGCTGGGAGCTCGTTCTGCAGGCCTGCTCTCTGGCTGTCAGCTGTGGCCCCCCTGACCCGGGCTGCTCCCTCACCGCGTTCACATGGCATTTGGTGAGAAGCCGGGGGCCAGCGCGCAGAGCTCCCTGCGCGGGGCACAGTACATGGACTTGGCTTCCTCATTCTAATACCACACCCCACGCACTGAGAGAGCAGAAATCCAATCTCTTATTCACTTCGTTCACTGGCAACGTGGAAGTGCTCCACAAACAACCTTTAACAACACCTTCCTCTCCACGCACCCCCCCACCGCTGTCCCCCCACTTCCCGCAGTGGGTGCGGGGGCGCCAGCTCTGCCCAGAGGCCGCACCTCTCACCGGGAGAAGCTGGAGCCAGGCTATTGTTGTGGCTGAGATTCTTTCCTAAACGGAAGGCCCCGAATTGCACAGTAGCTGCTCTAATCTCTGTGGGGGTGCATAGGGCCAGCAGAGGGGTCCCTCCCTTGGCGCCCACGACAGCGTGAGCCCCTCTTGCTCTCTAAGCCAGACCCCACCCAGAGCCTCATCTCTCCTCTGAGCTGCCTCTTCTCAGGAACCCCACCACCTCACACATCTCCTTACAGAACCCCTCCCTTCTCCACACCCCATATTCCCTCTCAGCAACCCCCAGCCTCTCTCCCTTCCTATTCCTCTCCTCTTTCTCTCTCCCTCTGTCTCTGTCCCTCTCCTTCACTCTCTTCCCTCCTACCCCACCCCCGTCCCTGCACCCCCTCACTGACACCCTAGCACTCCTGCTGTCTTTAGGCCTCCAGCTCTCACGGGCCCTCCCCCAACACCCCACCCCTCACCTCCCATCCCACCCAGGCCAGAAATCCCTTCCTCCCTGCCCCCAGCTTCTCTGGAAGAACAAATGTCCTCCGCTGTCCCCTGCGTTGTTGGCCTCTGTCACAGAAGCACTGCCCTGGCTGGAGCTGTGATCAGTCTGTCATGCCTCTGCCCACCACCACCACCACCCACCCCCAGCCCCTAAGCAGGCCAAACTCCCTGAGAGCAGAAACCATGTCTGACCTCTCTGCTGACCTCACAGCACACAGCAGTGTCCAGGATGATTTGTTGACAGCAGCTGAGACTGCGGAGTTAGAGAAATGATTTGGGCGGGAGGTGTCGGAAAGATGTCAGGGCTGGGCAAGAGTTAAAAGGCAGATTCGTCTAACATTTATGAGCTCTTTAAGGCACCAGAGGCTTTCCCAGTCACCACAGCCACTACTTCCTCCTGCCACTCAAGAGCTGAATCTTGTCACTCCCATTTTACGCTGAAAGAAATTCAAAGAGGTTAAGCTTGTGCTCCAGGCCAGGGTGCCAGTGAGCGGCCACACCAGGGTTAGCATGAAAGACAGGGCTGAGGTGCCTGTGGCTGGGGTGAGGGGGGGCCGTAGCTGGCTGCTAAGGGCGGGGGTGGTGGTGGTGGTGGTGGCAGAACAGCGTGAGTCTGGGGTCTGGGGCCGGATCTGAAGGCCTTCCTGAGCCATCTCATTATTCCCGACACTGACCAGAGCTGCCCCCGAGCCTACACCCCCTTCCCCCCAACTCCCGGAAGGAGCCGGTTCTGACTCAGACCCATTCCAATCGATCATCAAGGTGATCCGGGAATGAGCTCAATGAGCTCGGAAATAGGAAGGAAACCTCTCTCAGATTTGGCCTCCCACCGGCTCAAAGTCCTGGCTCTTGCACCGGAAGGAGCCACTTTAAGGATCTCCCTAGGGATCCATGACCAGAAAGACAGAGGATCCGGTTCATAGCAAGTGTGACCAAGAGCCCAGCAGGCGGGCTGCTGGATCTCCACCTCATGATCTCCCCCCAAACCCCCCACCCGTCCCCTCTAACTCCTTGTGGCGGGGGGGCTCTTTTACCCAGAAAGCCAATCTAGTTTGACCTCTCCTTCATGAGCCTCTCTGCTAGTATGTGTCCACTGGCATCCTGGGACAGGGAACTGTCACCCTTCAGACTCGGAGTCCTTGACCACCCCCCATCTTGGACTGCTGAGGGCAGAGCTGTGTCTCCCCTCTCTAACTGGGCACTCTGAGGTCTGGAGCTGTCTTCCCCCTCTGACTCTGACAGAATGCTCCCACAAGGAGGCAGGGTCATTTCCAGTTACCCTCCTCAGACCCAGGGCTGCCCCAGGGTAGCACCTGTGTTCCACTCTGAATCCCCTCTTTCTGTAGCCCAAACTCTGTCTTAGTCCCTAGAAAAGAGCTGAGAAGTCCCCTGTCCCCCTTGACCCTTACTCTGGCTGCCCTTCCACCCAACCCGGAGGCTCCTTTAAGACCAAAGGGATGGGGGTTGCATCAAGTCAGACACAACAGCCCCATCCTCCACCTCCCTCACAGGCCAGGTTTCCTGCCATTGACAGCATCCCAGCTGGGCCCTGCCCAGCCTCCATGCTTAACCCCTTCACAACCAGATCTCAGTGCTAGGGGCCGGCACATCTGTAAAATTAGGTGAATAAAAGTACCCCTTTCACTGGGTTGTTTTGAGGATTAAATGTGTTAATCACAGAACAATGCCTAGCATATGTTAATCCTCCAATAAAAGTTAGCTGTTAAAAAAAAAAAGTTAACTCTTAGTCTCATTGTGCGAGTTTGGATGGATCCTTTCACATCTCTAAGCCTCAGTATCCTCCGCTGTTAAATGGGGAAGTAAAACCCCCTACTCCCCAACGATTGTCCCAGGGATGAATTGTGAGCATGTAGATAAAAAAAAATTTGTTTTTAAGATTTTATTTATTTGACAGACAGAGATCACAAGTAGGCAGAGAGAGAGAGAGAGAGAGAGAGAGAGAGAGGAGGGGGAAACAGGCTCCCTGCTAAGCAGGGAGCCCGATGCGGGGCTCGATCCCAGGACCCTGGGATCATGACCTGAGCAGAAGGCAGAGGCTTTACAAAGGCAGAGGCTTTAACCCACTGAGCCACCCAGGCGCCCCTAGATGAAAATATTTTGCAAAGATAGATAACATAAGAATGCAATATGGAACTATTGTGGACCAATAAACAAACAAACAAAAAAAACCCCCAAAACCTTCCCTTGACTAGGTGATAAAAATCTCTTACCAGCAAAATGGGCCTCCTGGCTTTTCAAACTCATTACCTTACTTGACAGGCAGAGGGTGCAGCATAAAGAGCAGTGGTTTCAGAGTTGGGTTTTGGCAAGATCCCATTTCCTCATCCATCAGGTGGGGTGGTCACCCCTACCGCCCCACCCCCCCACCCCGGAGTTCTTAGGAGAAACAAAGGAGATCCAAGAGCACAGGTGTGAATGTGCTTTGCAAACATTAACAGTTCTACAAGGGAAGGAAAGGGGTTTGTGGAAAGTGGCCAGCTAGGGGTGGGGCAGGGGCCTGTTGGGAAGGGCTTTGAGCTTTGAGCTCTGGGTGCTGCAGGTTACTGGAGAGATGGGGGGGGGAAATTACCCGACACCAGCACTGTGGGGACAGGGCTCTGCCTTGAGACATGAGATGTCACCTTGAGAAGTCCCCAGTGGGGCAAAGCAGAAAGGAGGCCAAAGACACGAGCTTGACCCCTGAATCATCCCTTTATCTCCCTCTTCCCAGCCAATCCCATTGGCCATCAGAGGACCTTGGGCAGAGGCACCTCCAATGGGCTCCAAGGTGACTGTCATGCCAAGACATGACATGCCCTGCACGTCTATCCCCAGCACCAACGACCCCACCCTTAGGCTGCAGATTCCTGGCCTCACCCCTAGGGAGAGCAGGCCTGCCACCCTCCACACACCCCAGCCAGGACAGGCCTAAACGTGCTACAGAGGAAAACAAGCACAGTCAGCTAGAACCCTGCTCTGCCTTGTCTTTTAACTAAGAGGTTCTGCCAAGGCCTAGCAGAGGGGGCTGACCCCACACGACTAGCATATCTCTACCCCAGGCCTCTGGAGGGAGCTAGAGAATCAGGAGACCTTGTTTGGGTCCTGACTGTACCCCAACCTCGCTGTGCCTCCCTGCAAATCACCTAGCCTGTTGGGGCCTGTATGACCATCTATAAAATAAAGGGTCTGGACCTGATCTGAAGGTCCTCTCCAGTACTGAGACTGACCAGGAAGGAGTTAACTGGAGACCAGCCTCCAGGTCAGGAAGGCAAGGGTTAATCTGGGGGGCCGGGGGTGGAGGCTCTCTCTCCTTTTCCTGTGGAGAGTGGAGTTTGGCTGCCACCAAAGTTACTTCCAGTCCTTACTGTCCCTCCTGCCCTTGTCTGGTCCTGCCCTGGGACCCCTGCTTCAAGCCTGGCCTCAGTGAGGGCACAGAGGTGAGTGCATCCCGAGCCCAGGGCTGGGGTGGGAAGGCACTCGGGGACCCAAGGGCAGGGAGGCTGGCACCAAGCCAGTGACCAAGTGCTTCCCACCCTCCCCCACCCCACCAAGTCCAGATCTGAAGCTGTGGGCAAAGTTCAGACCACTAACCACAGGACTGGGAGAAGGTGGGCAAAGGGACGGAGGGCACAAGGATGTCTGCCAGGCTTCTAGGGCTGAACATCTGTGGTCAAGCATCAGGGCCAACCCAGGAGGCAGGGAAGAGACGGTGGATGGCAGACTATTTTAGTCCCTGTGTTTAGGGACTTTTTATAGCCTTGCTGCTCAGGGCTGGGAAGAGGGAAAGGGATGGGAGGATACCCATAAGGTCAGATAAGCACAGTGCCCTCTTGGGACCTTGGAATCGGACCCACTGCCTGGTATAGTTCTTGAGAGCCAGGAGGGAGGTCATTGCCAAGCTCTCCTGGCTGCCTGCGTTCGCAGTCACCAGTCACCAACTACCTATGGACTGACTTACTAGACACTAGATAGGGGTGTGTGTGTGTGTGCACACACACACACACGCTGGAGTGGGAGGTTTGGCAGGGTCTCTGGCCTCCCCCTATCCTGGCAAGTTCTCTTCTTTTGTGGCCTCCTGACTGGAGGTCCCCTCAGCCCCCAGAACTTCTGTGTCCCTTTCAACTGAATGGAGGATTCAGGGAGAAGGGAGCAGGGGTGGGAAGGGTTGTGCTGAGCCTTGTGGGTGGCCCATTCTCTTACTGCCAACAGCATCATCAGCTCTTGATTTACAACCCCTCCTGGTCCCCTTCCCCAGTGGCAGAGGGGAGGTGGCAGACAAGGGTCACGGGGTCTCAGGATGAGAAGAGGACAGAGACCCTGAGGGCAGATTGCTGGGAGTGCCAGTTATTGGGAAGAATTTGTGGAAGGAACTTTTTGTGAGGCAAAGGGCCCAGGTCTAATGGAAAGTGCTTGGGATTATAGCAGCAAGAATAGAAGCAAAACATGAGAGGGACAGAGACAGGCCATCTGAACTAGTTCTGCACTGCAAGGCTAGAGACCAGGGTTTCAATCCCAGCCCCTACCTCTCAGTAGAGACCTGAGCAAGCCCTTTCCTCTCTACCAGTTTCCTTTTCTGTAAATGGAAATGCAGAGGTAGGCAAGGTGGTGTTTACAGGCGGGCACTGTGGAATTTCCTTGGCAGGGGTACAGAGGTGGGAGGTGGCTGGGTGACATGACCTGGTTGCCACCTCTCTGTCTCTTTCCCTGTGGCCCAGCTGGGACTGGGCAGGGCAGTTGGCTGTGATTACCGGAGGCTCCTACCCTGTGGTTATATCCCTGACCCCGGGTGCTTGGGGGCGGGAAGGGTGGGCCCTGCTGGAGCCAGCCTGTGGCTGGGGAGCCTTCTTGTCTTGGACTCAAAGTTGCTGGGTTGGGAAGAGGTATTTTTTCCGGTTGAGGCCACTTTCGGGAACTGAGCCGGGACCAGCCCCATTTCCTTTTCCAAGTGTCCCACTTGCTGATGCTTGCTTGGCATGGCTCTATGGCCAGATTGGGGCACCCTCAAAGGAGGATGTTTCTGGGTGGCCAGGGCGCCCCTGCTCAATGTCTTTGAGGGATGTGGGGGAGAGGTAGCCTGAGCCTCTCTGCCCCTTAAGGATGGTACCGGCTGATTTGGATGGAGGAGGGGTGGCTGGCTGATCCTATTCCCAGGACCGATGGCAGGAGAAGTGACCATTCCTTTTTCCCTGCAGGCACCAGGAAGCCCCCGCCAGTTACTCTTGGCTCCTCAACTAGCTGCCTACTTCCAGTGGCTTATGGGGTATAATCCTGTCCAGCTCCGCTGAGATGATCCTGGCCTCTCCCTCCACCCCGTCCAGGGGACGCACCCCCAGCGCGGTGGAGAGGCTGGAGGCCGACAAAGCCAAGTATGTCAAGACCCACCAAGTCATAGCACGACGCCAGGAGCCCGCTCTGCGTGGGGGTCCCGGACCGCTCACCCCACACCCCTGCAATGAGCTGGGGCCCCCTGCATCGCCCAGGATGCCCGGGCCCGCCCGCCGGAGCAGCGGCAGGCGGCTGCCAAGGCCTGACTCCCTCATCTTCTACCGCCAGAAGCGGGACTGCAAGGCTTCGGTGAACAAAGAGAACGCCAAGGGCCAGGGGCTGGTGAGGCGCCTCTTCCTGGGCGCCCCCCGAGACGCCACCTCGAGCAGTCCGGGCCCAACCGAGCGACCAGCGGCTCCTGGGGTTTGGGCCGCGCCCCAAGATGCCCAGGAAGCGTCAGGAAAGCGGGCGCTGTGCCCTACATGCTCACTACCCCTGTCGGAGAAGGAGCGCTTCTTCAACTACTGCGGCCTGGAGCGCGCGTTGGTGGAGGTGCTGGGCGCTGAGCGCTTCTCTCCGCAGAGCTGGGGCGCCGACGCCAGCTCCCAGTCTGGAACGTCGCCGCCGCTAGGCTCTGGGGACGCCAGCGACTGGACGTCCAGCGACAGCGACACGGATCGCCCGGACGGAGCTGGCGGCGGCGGCGGCGGCGGCTCGGAGGCGGCGGGCTCGGCGCGAGACGGGCGCCCCCCGGTGTCGGTGGTGGAGCGCAACGCGCGCGTCATCCAGTGGTTGTACGGCTGCCAGCGCGCCCGCGGCCCGCCGCGCGAGTCGGAGGTGTGATCGCGGCCGCTCGGGAGCAGGCTCCCGGGGAGTCCGGGGTCCGGGGTCCGGGGTCCCGGGTCCCAGGAGGGCTAAGGGGTGGACGCAGGGCTGGACCCGGGCACGGGCAGGGGCGCCCTGCCTCTGAGGCGCCGGGTGCCTTTAGGAAAGCCCTTCCCTCTGGATTCTTGGCCCCCGCCCCGTCCCGTCCCGTGAACCTTGGGAGGCTGGGACAGAATGATTCGGAAGGCCCTTCCCAGAGCAGACGACCGAGGGGGAGGGGGCAGCTACGTGGCTCCTGTGGAGGCCGGATCTGGGGAGAGAAGCCTGGGGTGGGAGATCGGAGAACCTGCTGAATAAAGCCAAAACGTTATTTAAAGGAGTCGTGATGTTGGCTTAGAGAGCAGCTATTGAGGAAGGGGGCGGGGCGGGCTTGCGCCGAGTTACGCGTTTGGGTTTTTGGAATGCGAGTTCCCGACTCACTGTGTGACCCTGGGCAAGCACTTAACTTCCCCGAACCACAGCTGCACCCCTCGGTGATCAAAATATTTTTGAAATGGTCATAAAACGCATGGCAAAGTGCCCGGCATATAGGAAGTGTTCGATAAACGACAGCCACTAAAACCACTACTGTATCAGTACTAACTCCATTATGATCATCTCCACCATCGACCCCCAGAGGTCGGTCCAGGCTAGATCTGGGAGCCAGGAATAGCATGTTTGGGGAGTTCTGGGGAGGGGTCTGCTCCAGAAATATGGGTCTGCTGGCCGGAAAAGGCCCCCATTCCCAGAGATTTGCTGCCCTCTTTGGTTACTAGCTATGAATGGGCTGAGACAGGAAAATTCCAGAATTGAGGACAATAAAGGAAGGGACCATTCAAACCAGGACTTTGATCATCGGCAGCCTCACATAGGGCCACTGTCTTCCTTTCCCTCAAAGACACACAAGGTCATTCGATTGCCTCCAAGTCCACATCTCCAAGTCTTTGCTTAGGGTCCTCCTTCCTTTGCCTGGGCTACCTTCCCCTTTACACTCATCCTTCTAAGATTACATGTATTCATTCTCCCTCCGAAATTCCTGAATTCCCCAGTTGGCCTCATCTCCGAGCTCCCAAGTACAGCCTTATTTTTGTGTCTCAACTTGTCACCTTTTGTGGGACCCGCTGGTCGGTGAGTCTCTGACCTTCCCCCAGTGCAGGGACGGTGCGCATAGGAGGGCCACAGGCAACTCTTGTCGAATTAAAAGAGGCTGAACAAGGTGATGGGGGCCTGTTCTCTGGGGTTCCCCAGTTTCCTGGAAAGTTGTATCCTAAATCCGACACCAGGGCCGTCTTGTCATTTTCTCCCTGTACACTTGTGGGGGAAGGGAGTGAGGGCGCTTTGAGCTGGACCTGCCTTGAGGTTGCCCACCCAAAAGCAGTCATCCCCGCCGTCCGGACAAAGGCACGCGGTCACACGGGGTGTCGGGTCAGGGTTTTTATGGGAGTGGGGGAAGAAAGGAGGGGGTGTCCAGCTGGGCTGGCCGACTAGTCGCCCTTGGGCGCAGCCTTCACCCTCATCTCGGCCAGTTTGTGGGTGAGAAAGCCCCACTTGAAGCCGGCCACGTTGTCGGCCTCCCCCGGCTCGGGGCGTTCGGCGGCCTCTTCTGCGGCTTCATCCCCGGCTTCGGGGTCTGGCTCCGGGTTGGGTTCGGCGCCGCGCAGTATGGACGCCGCTGCCGCCTGCTGCTGCTGCCACCTGCTGGCGAACGCGTCCCAGAATCCCGGCCCGCGCGGCTCCGCCTCCGTCGCGGTCACTGCCTGCGAGGGGGACCGCGCCGCCAGCGGGCTGCGGGGTTAGGACGGGTGTCACCGGCCGAGAGGCCCGAGGAGAGGACGAAGAGGGGAGACAAGGCGCAGGCGCCAGTAGTGGGACAGGAGGAGCCCGAGGGAGGTCAGGTGACGGGGGTGGGGCGGGAGACTGGAGGTCCGCGGAGGGCTCAGAGGCACAGGGAAAGGCGGCTGGGGTGGGACAGTGTCAGGGGATTAGGTGGGGGGTCTGGGAAGAGGGGACGGAGACCACGATTCCTGGGAAAGAGTCGGGGTCAGGCGTTTAAGAAAGACGGGGAGAGGAGTACAGCCAGAGGAGGGAAGAAAGCCTGAGCCGTGGAGTCTGGAAAGCTGTGGGAGGATCCCGGACGAGGGGCGGGGCCCAGCGACGGTTGGGGTGGAGTCAGACTCTGGGAGAAGGTGTCCGGGAAACCAGGGTTGCAGCCCTGGGGAAAGAGGCGGGGCGGGGGCGAGCGCGAGGTTGAGGTTCTGGGATGGAGGGGAAAGGGGACTGGGAAAATGAGGACACACTGGAGAGAAGGACAGGTGGAGCGACCCAAGGAAATGAGAAAGGCCTAGATGAGGCGTTAGTGGGGAGGAGGACTGGAGGGTGGCAAGGCGTGTGGGGGGAAGGGCAGTCAAGGAGCGATGCTGAGTCTTGAGGTGGGAGCCTCAGATCTGAGGAGGAGTCCTTGGAGCTCTGGGAAGGACAGGGGATGAGCGCCAGGAGGGAGAAAGGGACCCCTGGGGAGGGAGAGATGGGTGGGTCAGGGGGGACCCCCAGGGGAGAAAGGAATAGAGGAGTGTCAAAGAAAGGGGGTGTGACTGGGCTGGAGGAAAGGGCAGAGAGAGAGTGTGTGCCAGAATGGAGCTAGGAGAAAGGAGCTGCCCTGGGTCCTACCCCTACCCCCAGCATCAAAGCCCTTCTAAGTCAGTGGTTTCTAACTAAACTAGTGCCCCTCAGGTCCACCCTCCCGCCCCCCCACCGCCCCCCACCCCTGAGCAAGCAGCAAATACAGATCCCAGACCTCAGCCCAAACCTGCCAAATCAGAAGCTTTGAAGCTTTGAGGGTCTGGCACAAACTCCCTAGGAGGAGGAGGGTTTAGACCAGCACTGGGAACCACTGGTCTGGACCACCCTCTGTTCTGAACACCTAAATGTTCTCTCTTCTGTTCCTCAATTGTAGGGAGAGGGACCCCCCCCCCAACCATGCGGATGGGGAGGAGAGAGAGTATAAAGTACCTTTCTAGCACCTCAATTCCAACAGCCCTTAAAGTCCTCCTGAGATCTGACCTAAACTCCAGATATGTCAACTTGGCCTCTTTCCTGATGAGAAAAACGGAAACAGCCAGGAGCTGGCTCTCCCCCTGGCTCCCTGGTCAGAAAGATAGACAAATAGATCAGAAGGAAAGGACATGGGGACGTCAGGCCCAGCCCAGCCCCCACCAACACGCACGTACTGGTCCGCACAGGGCTCCGGTGGCAGTAGCTTGTCCTCATCTTCTTTGTTAAACAGGGATGACATTGTCAGCCAACCTTTCACCCCAACCCCCTGAACCTGGGAGGGAGGGGCTGGGAGTCAGGGAGGGGGTCACAGCAGCCTCTGCCAGGCGCCCCGGGGCTGGGGTGAAGAAGGGAAAACTCACCCGGCGGGCCAACTGTGACATGGAATGGAAAGCCTCTTCTGCGGGTTCTGCCGGCTCAGATTCCGCTAACGCTGGGTTCCCTCTCTGGGACACAAGACCCCCTCCCAGCATGAGAGAGGCCCCAGAGGAATGAGACCTCCCTCCCTGACTGCTAGCCTGGTATGCGCACTCCGGCACCCCAAACCCTCCCACCTAAACACCCATCTCATCCACTCACACAGCCCGTAAATCCAGACAGGTGGCCCTCTACATAAAGCCACGAGTCCCATACCTTACCTGGATAGTAGACCCCTGCAGACAACCTTGAGCACCCATCTGCTCACCCACAGACACATCCACACGCACCCAGAAATGTGCGGACCAGGGCATGCACGCCAATGCAGACACACCTGTATGTGAGCAACCCCACACGGCTATACCTCTTCCCTTGTGCTACATGTACGTCCTGGGAGGCACCTCTACAAGATCATGTCCTCAGTTACCCCATTCACACCTGTACACTTACACCAATGCAGACGGCTGCCCGGAGGCCCACCCACAGCTCCCTCCACCTCTCCACCCCTCCACAGACACCAAGGCCGAGACGTACACACAGGATAAACATAACACCTGCCAGTGCCTGCACAGACGGGTCTCCGGAAGAGACTTATGCCCCAAATCCACACACCTGAAAATCCCTATCTCCAGTTCACGCCCACCCGTACAACTTCATGGACATTCTGCACGGACCCCAGTCCTCATACCAACCCGCAGCTACTTCTACACAAGCCCAGCCTGGGACACCCACCTGTCTAGACAGATGCTTCTTCACACTGACACACACACACACACCCTTACAGAAATAGTTCCTGCCCCTGCAACACCTGTTTGCACAACTGCCATATATCACAGCATCTGGATGGAAGACTGTTCCCAGTTTCAGAGCTTTTTTGATCTTTAATGTCAGGACAAAGATGGTCCAAGTCAGCCTCTGACCTGATGCTGCAATGGTGACTCCACATCAAGTGCCGCTTTCCCTACTTCCAGTCCCATAAGACTCACTTCCTCTCAAGGCAAGCCATCTGCATTCCGCTGAGCCCTGCCCACTAGAAAGTCGTGTCAAGCCCCATGTACCCCTGGTGGCTACTGCCCACTGGTGCTGGAAGGATCTCTTCCATGCGGTAACCCTTGAGATCTTTGGAGACAATGACTATTCTTCTGGTGGTCCCCAAATCTTCTCCCTCAGTTTTCTTCAATACCCTGGCTTTCTGCACCATGCCATTTGTCATCCCTGAATGTGCTGCTGGCTTCTGGACAAATGTGCCCTTCCCCCATAGCCTGTCCCTTGCCCTTCCTTGTACCTTTCACACCTGTTACCCCTCTTCCAGAACCCACCCAGCAAGCATGGATTGTACCCACCTCCTCTGCCAGGTCCTCCTCAGGTTCTCCACTTAGGGTCTGTAACACTTTGGACTTGTAGGTTTTCCAGAAGGCCTGGTTCATGGCTGCAGGGGAAACACACCTGGCACCCCAGTTCAGGCAGGCAGTGACTCAGTGGTCACCCAGTGGGTCTGGCTCCAGGAACTTGGTGAGGCCAGGAGCCTGTCCCAGGGATCAGGTGACTTCATTAAAGATGCACTAGTCTCCCCATCTGGCACAGTGTCCAGCAGGTGAATCTGATCCAGAGGAGTCTGGGGTGGGGATGGGACAGAGCTGGCTCCTGTGGCTTTAGTCCCGGTCTTGACCCATATTGGCCAAGAATAATGAAGACATCTCCATGGAGGCCTCCTTCCTGGCCCTAGGGGTACTTGAATTTGAATTTGATCTCTCGGAATGGCTCCAGGAAAAATCTGTTTTCATTCACAAAGTCCATTTATAAAGTCTTTGGGCCCGAGACACACTCTGGTGCTCCTGTGGCTGTAGTCACACCAGT